TACTGCAGAGTTAAAATTTGACTTCTTATTTTTTTTTCTATTGTTCAATACTAAATTTACAGCTCATACGGTTTGGATGATGAGAAATTTGAAAATGAGCATCTCTCGTCAAATATTTCAGACCCTGAACAGGTGGGATCATTGGAGCCAAATAGTTCTTTTCTAACTAAATATACTCTTCAGTACTATTATTGACATGAAATGGTTAATTGAAGATTGCACGGGCTGTATATGATGTTGAGGAGGCCACATCCACTGCCTTCGACATCATTTTAGAACACAAGGTGCAATATATTTACCTTTGATATGGTTCTGTGAGATCTATTCTTGTGTCTTTCCATTTTTTGCTCATTCACTTACATTGTTTTCAATTTCATTTCTGGTCCCCTCCATATATAATATAAAAAAGATAAAGTCGGAAACTCGGGCTTCACTCATACAATTTCTGCAACTTCTGGTTGCGCATCACCCTTCGAGGCGGTTAGTTCACATTCTTCATTTTGCAACATTATTCCCATGAATGTTCTGCCTCACTAGTTTTTGACTCAGACTGTCTGTTTTAGGTGTCGTCAGGGTAGTGCAGAAGTTCTTGTCAACTTTGATGAGTTTTATCCCTTGGATATGCTGACGCTTGACAAACAGGAAGTTTCTAGTGGTGATGACAAGACAGCCTTTCATAATTTCCAGATATGCGGAAAAGAAGTTCCTCGTGGATATTGGGTGGGTACACTGTTAATTCTATTTTTCATACTTTTAAAATTTGCATTCTCTACTTTTGTTGAATTCTGGATATTTCTATATATGAGATTTATGAACTTTTTGCATCTGGTCAGTTTTGATGTATTTTAATCATAATAGCACAGCACTTCTAATTCATGTTTGTTGAAATGCCTTTAAAATTCATTAAGGTTAGACTACTAAAGTTGGGGGAAAGAGAGAAACAACACAGTTATAGCAGATCTAATTGTGATGTTGAGGAGTGCAGAAAAGATTTCCAACGTGCTGTAGCCTAGAAGACATATAAACCAGTTTTATACATCATCTTAAGCCCATCCTTAGTGTCCATTTCTCATGGTTAAGTAGTAACAGAAGTTTCGCCACTTGAACATTCTATAACTGCATTAGATGTTATCTAGTGTGATCTTTTGAACCAATCAAGTTCTTCTTACTCCAAACTTTTATGCCTTGCCAAAAGCTATTAGGTCATCTGATTTCACATGTTGATGTGAAATTGCCGTCCTCAGCCAAAGCACAAGAACGAAATTATAATATGTAGAGCTGCTGTAGTTTCATAGGGTGCTTGACAGTATTATAACTTGTCTTTGGAATCTGTGGTAGTGACACCTTTAACTTGAGAATAATGTTGAACTTAAATGCTTTCATGTGACTTGTCAAATCTTAATGAGATAACAAAGAAAATGTGAAAAGGTTACAAATAAAGGTTGAACCCCCAAGGAAAGGAGGTTAGCTCACCCAAATCACAAGGTTCATTAACCAATTGGTAACCTGATTTCTGGTCTAGGTTGCTATAATGATACCGGCCATAGAAACTCACAATAGCCACAGTCGCCTTTGTCCATTTGACACTTTGGCAGTGCATCAAACAACATACATGATGGGTTTGTGACATCCCCAAGTGCCAGCAAAAGAGAACATGAGATGACACATAAGTGGAAATCACCTCTCAGGCCAAGCCGATGCTTGAATACTTCATTTTAGAGGTTGTCTGTGTGAAACCAGGGAAGTTAGATGTTGAAGAGCAGTCATCATTTTTGCGACAATAGCAATCGGGTATTGTGCCTCAGTCCACTAGAGTTAGGTGCCAAACTAAGCTGTTGTTTTTATTTTCAACCTTTTCTCACCATGCTCATACGTATTGACAAACTGTTGGACTTTACAATAGAAGAAGCTCTTTTCCTGGAATTATTTCACAATTCCATCTCCCTGGAATTCGATCATCTACATATTTCAGCAGCTCAATTTTGGCATTTGTTGTGTTTTGTTGCAGATGTTCTGCCGTGGCAGCAAGAATGATACTAGAGGCTTTAGGTATTATTGTTCTCCATTATTTCAAGCCTGACTAATCACTTTGCACCTAAGCATCATTTTTGGAATGTTCAGTATAATGTGGCAGAAGCTCATGTCATTTCTTGTTACACTACATCTAAGGAGGATACTCCTGATAATTAAACTTCTCGAAGATATATATGCTGTTCCTACCGACATTTGATAGTGGATTTGAACAATTCCCCAGTATACTTTGTTTTCTTGTGAGTGTGCAGTATGGAGGTAATGCACACATCGCGCTGTGTTCTGCTCTTATGGTTTCACAGAGTTTGTAGTCCATGTGCTTCTGTAGATGCCTGCAATGAGTTCATTTTGTTGCTGTAATTGATGCAGTGGGCTTCTTTGACTTATTTACTTGATTTAAAGTTGTCGAGAAGAATTTCATTTCTTTTTGTCTTGGTAAAAAGGCTTCTTAACTGGCCTTTCTATGGTCAGACATGTAATTGGGCCAGTTGCAGGCTGCATATAAGTATGGCAAAATATGGCCATGGCATGGCGAGCCATCTTGATTGGGGCAGCCCTGCCCTGCCGTGAAACATGGATGGATTTAATTCCCAACCCATGCAGTAAGATGTGTAGATCGTGTCGATTAGGGGGTTAGTTAGTGAGAAGAAAGGGCAATTAGCGGAGGTGATAATTTTTTTGGTTAGAAGAGGTGATATTTGGAATGACCTGTTTTTGCATAGTTAGCTGTATGGACCAGATTTTGGTTTTTTCAAATGGGACAGTTATTGAGAAGACACTAATTCAGTTCTTTGATTAGTGTGCCTCTGGACTCCTTAATGCTTTGCTACACTTCTGGTAGTTGCATTTGTAATTGATGTCCCAGCCCTGGTTATTGCAAAACCATCCCCTTTTTTATCTTGAACAGTTGAAGTATCCTTTGTTGTCTAAAATATGAGCATTGATAGGATTTCTCTTACCTAATTACTATTAAGTCTATTTCTACCTTTTTAATTCAGCCAATTTGGCTCTTTTGCAGCTGTGGATTGTGGGTTCTTCTTCATTCTCTATCTGTAAGCATTGAAGATGGAGAGAGTCAGTTTGCGTTTAGAGCCATATGCGATTTTATCCACAACTTTTTCATCTGTGAGGAATGTCGCCAACATTTCTATGCAACGTGTTCAAGGTACAACTATCTAATAATTACGTGCTTAAGCCTTTTTGGTATTATTACCATTTACCATGTGCAAATATTTTCTTCAGCGTTTCTACTCCATTCAAGACAACACGTGATTTTGCACTTTGGTTGTGGAGTACGCATAACAAAGTAAATGAGAGATTGATGAAAGAGGAAGCTTCTCTAGGCACTGCTGATCCCAAGTTTCCAAAGATCATATGGCCCCCAAGGCAGCTTTGCGCATCTTGTCATCGGTCTGACAGTCGAAGGAACGGTGATTCTAGTAAGATTGACTGGGACCAGGATGAGGTTTTTAAATTTCTGAAGCAGTACTATGGGAAGACACTCGTGTCTCTTTACCAGAAGAAAGATATTATTCAGAACGCTGGAACTAATGGAGCTCTGGAAGATTCAGCGGCCTCGACAAATGCGATTGTTGTGCCTATCGGGGCTGCATTAGCAATTGCTGTTGCTAGCTGTGCCTTTGGAGCCCTTGCGTGCTACTGGCGTTCACGGCAGAAGAATCGGAAGTATTACCACAATTTACACTCTTATAAAAACATATGATTTTGATTAGGTACTGATCAGATTAGGGAAAATAATTGAAGAATCTTATAGCGGGTAAAGGGCGAAACTGTCCTCGGGTACTAGGATTGCTGACCCCTTCTTTTGGAATTTGGGAGGGAGAGAGAGAGAGAGAGAGAGAGAGAGTTGGGGGGTTTGTTTGTTTGGAGTTAGATTTTCTTATTTCTCTTTTGTTTCTTTCAACAACATTTCAGGCCAAGAAGAAGCTGGAATTAACATATTTTTTGAAGGACAGTTGTTCCACACATTGAGGTGCAAAAAACAAAGGGTGAAATCAACCTCTGCAATAGGAATTCCCTGAACACGCTCGTATCAGTTGGGCTCTTACAAAGTTACTGCCTTTTGAAGGTCTGATATGGATTGTACAGATACATTGTCGGACAAAATTACATGTATTTAGATGAGATTGTGCAATACCGTGGCCTTAATTATTGTACTTATTCTTGAAAGTATTGTAGAGGGTGACCGGTCGGCGTCACTGTTGATTTCTCAGTTGGAATTTTGTCTTGTAATTGTGCTTTACGGAGTTGTTGTACACTGGTGATCGAGCGGGATTGTTTCTTGTCTAATGAGAATTAGTTGCTTCTCGTGGCAAAGGAGCAAGTATGACGAGGTTTTTGTTTATGGTTTATGAAGAGAAAAAGCTTTCAAAACGTAGGACCAGACGCGTGTGCCCAAAGAAGGGATGATCCAATAGCATGTGTGTACTCGTCCCTTCCTCTATCTATGTCTTACTATTATTGAGTTCCATACATTGGAGATGAGGCATACAATTGAATCTTATAGTGGGGTCATGGCACCTTTTCTTCTCCTTTTTGGTCGGTCGAATTTGAATGGATTGTCATGCCTTTCCATTGGGTAAGGCCCGGCAAGCACGACTCACCTGTTGCAGCGCTTCAAAATGTGCAAGTTGAAATTCGTTTGCCTTCTTCAACATGTGCCGCGTTCCACGTTCACAATTCTTTTACATGGCTAGGAGATCTCTTCAAACATACAGATCCTTATTTGCTCTGCTAGCCTCCGAGAAAAACTCTCGCGGATGTCACGAGCAATGTCTCTTGATAGTGCGTGCGTATTGTTGTCGAAGGAATGTTAACTGTGATTTTATAAGATGCAGATTCTAATTTGCCAGAAAAAGGGAGTGCAAAAAACCCACTTCGGCCTCTGAGGTCAGTTTCGTCATTGCACCATAACCAACAAACCGAACTATTTCCAACCAACAAAACGGTGCAAGTGCAAATCTCCCGCCAAATCTTCGGGCTCGTTGATGAAACGCCCCCTCTGCTCTTCACTCTCCACAGAGCAACCAATCTTGAAAAACCACCCTCTCTCCAAGCTCTCCGTCAATGGCGTCCCTACTCCTCATCCTCCTCGTCGCCGCCACCGTCATCCTCGTCCCTCCGCTCTCCCTCTCCTCCGCCCCTCATTCCGACTCCCTCCATCGAGCCGCCCAGACCCTCTCCGGCGCCCGCTTCACGTCGATGGCTCTGACCCTCGAGCTCGTTTCCCAGACGCCGGTCGTCCCGCGCTCTCAGTCCCTGACCATCTTCGCTCCCCGCGACTCCGCATTCTCCCGGTCTGGCCAGCCCTCGCTCTCTGTCCTCCAGTTCCACTTTGCTCCGCTCTTTCTTTCCCATCGCTTCCTCGCTTCGCTTCCCTACGGCACTGCCGTCCCGACCGCGCTGGGAAACCGCTCCCTCGCCGTCACTTCGCTGCCGGGCGACCCATTCGTTTCCCTCAACAGCGTCATGATCGACCGCTCGCCTCTGTTTGCTGACAAGTCCGTGACGGTTTTCGGAGTTGAGAGGTTCTTTGACCCGGGTTTCGAGCTCCCTTCACCCGTTCAGGGCCCCACGCTGGATCTGAGCTGCGTCTCCTCGCTGAAGAGGGGGAATCGTGCAGGCTTTCCAGGCGACAGTTCGTTCCACGAGGCTTCAAGAAAGATGAGATCTTCAGGGTATTCTGTGATGGGTTCGATTCTCGGAATGCAGCTTCTGGGGTTTGAGTATCGGACTGCTACGCTGACTCTGTTCGCTCCAGTTGACAAGGCGATTACGAATAACAAAGGCAATTTCAGCGAGTACGCTTCGATCTTTCTTCAACACGTGGTTCGGTGTAAGCTTCTGTGGAGTGATCTGGCTGGGTTTAGTAATGGGCCTGCACTGCCTACGTACAAGAAAGGGTATGGAGTTCATGTCACGAAGTCTGGCGACACCTTCATGGTTAATAAGGTCGCCATTGTACACCCGGAATTGTACGTGAATGAGTGGATCGTTGTCCATGGGGTTCGCGGGATGATCGGAGCGAAGAGCAGGGCGGACAAGGCAACGCACAAGGGGTCTGAAAAGAGTGGCCACTCAGAGGAGAAGAGATGGGTGAGGAGGCAGTTTCGAGTCTGGATCGCGATCTTCGTACTGGTCTCTACTCAATTCTGTTGTTGAGTTCTGGTCAATCTGTTGCATTGTTAGGTGGACGTGTATGTGGTTTTGGAGAGATTTGACGATGTAAAACAGGTTGCAGGGTCATAGAGATGCTGATCTTTAGTGGGGTTTTTAATTCAGTGCCCATGATCCCTCCGTTCTCTTTGTTCCCCAGAGAAAATTCTTAATTGATGAACACACCGTATGCCTTTTTCTTATGCCTTCTACTTACTAGCCTATATCTTACAGAAACTTGCTTTTGCTTTCTGAAGCATGTAGATTCTCTATAAACGGGCAGTGTTACTCTCTCTATCAGCCACACGCTGTTCTGAAGATGACCACAGCCTAAACAATTGGTGATATCAAACAGCCCAAGAACAATCCTTGACAGGAGAGTTGCTTCCCAGCCGAAAACCCGGTGAATTCCTGGTGGTGCCAAAACACAACCATGCGAGACCATATTTACGAGCAGCTTTAATCAGTAGATGCCACGAATTACGCATTCACAAGCCACATTTTCTTTTGGGAGGACAAAATACAAGAATGAAATTACCATATGCTAGTAACAGGATTCAGTAGAAAAGGCTTTACCCCTCAAAACTCAAAGTGAAGCTTTGCCCCACTTGGTTTTCTTCCTGCCGTAGAAGGACATTTGAGCTATAAAAAGCGGAAAAAGGAAACTACTGACTTCTATAATGATCCTACTATTCGATCTAAAATACACTACTCGTGTTGGGTGACCCAATATCATGACGAACATTGTCGTTGTTGTTGTTGTTGTTGCCGCCGTTGGTATTGTTGTCGTTGGTATTACTCTTAAAGTTCCCGCAGACTTTGATTGGTAAGGATAGCTTCACAAACACCTCCTCCCTTTGGGGGCGGTTTGCATAGAGTATCCAGAGGACAAGGCATAGCATGACTCCTATAGAGATCAAGCCCAGTCCAGCGTTGACCAACCTCAGATGACTTTCCAGAGGAGGACAATGAGTCTTGGTTATCTCCTGGAACGTGTCCCGCACGAAATTGCAGTTTTGAAGGCTGAGTAGAGGAGGGGCATAGTGCTCGAGTGCATAACTTTCATTTACTGCCCCCACTAACTGCATGTAAATTGCAGGGGTGATTCTACCGGGTGTAGTGCATATACCGGATGCAGATACTTGGCATGTGTAGTTCTCCCAGACCTGAACACATTTCAAAAGAAATGGAGAAGTTAAAAACTCTATCGAGACTTATCATGCAACCGGTTGAAGTACAAGGAAAGGGACTAGGTGTTGCTTGGCAGACCGTTTCTCTTAAACTACCGCAGGTTCTTGAGAGCAACGAGGCAAGCAAAGCCCAATCTTTATTGAAATATCAAAGGATGTTTTTAGTGATTTTCACCCGCTGGTACAAAACTTTAACAAAAACCGTGAAAGACTAAATACTTTGGGATTTATTTATCATAAACAATACAAAAGAAAAAGCCCAGAAGTATTTCGTCGTTTGTACAGGATAACTGGATCTCGCATTTGCATGTGTCACTTATCTCAAAGTAATTGTTCTCATAAGTGTATCTGTTAGAAACAAAAACGACGAAATTTAACCACTGATAATGAATAAAAGAATTATCAACAACAACCCAAACCAGGTCTTTTTTTGACAGAGGCATCAGATGTGGACCTCGTGAATGATAAAAATTATATTTTTTAATTTAACTAAAGCACTAAGGACCTAATGTGTCCCCACAAATGATCTTCGTAGAAAGAGGAGGACAAAATAATGGCCAGTGAGCATCATACCAGAGAAGCATTTGCGATTGACACTTCTTGCGATCCACATTGGCGATCTTTCAGGACAGAGTCAAATGGAGAGCAGAGAGGCGGCATCATAGGTCCAGACTGATTGTAGTAATAGAGATTGCCCTGGGCTGGGTATGTATTGGCGTATGTATATATAAATTGATTCACAACATGAACAATATCCATGATGACTTGTTTACTCTGTACTAGTGTCTGATTTGTGGTTCTCTGGTCAACACAAGGAAGGATGTTGCTAAGAGCAGATTCAGCATGGGGATTCTCCACCCATTCTTCCATTGCCATGCATGTGTCAGAGATTGCACTGAGACAAAGAGGAAAAGCGACAGTCATGTTTCTATCATACCCAGTATTCTCATTCACATGATTCTCAAAACATTAAAGATCTTAAGAATGCCTAAATTCAGGCAACAGGACTGATTATTAGTTTAGTCATGAAAGGCACAGCCAGTGAATATAATGGCAATGCAAGCAAAAGATAATGAGTTTTAGGATACAACACAAGAAAATGTATGACAGGACAAAGAGAAGTAAATAATTGAAGAAAAGGAAACCATTGAAGGTTCAAATTTAGTATATCAAACATCAAACCTCAAACATAAGAACGATATAAGAATTACTAAACTAGTGAAGTCAGCATGCATCTGACCAAAAAAAAAAAGTCAGCATGCGGATATATATCTCAGAGAAATAAATGCACTAACATAGTCTGCATTCTGCATGCACCTATATGGAATTCTACAAGCAGATCTCAATTTACTGAGTACAGAGGCAAAGGAGACTGGACGAAGACGCCTGCAGTGGAGTTCAGCATCTTACTTGTTGAAAATTACAAAAACTCCACAGAGGATGAAAGTAACAGCAACAAGTAGCCACCCACTTATGACAAATCTGCAAAGGTACGAGATAGCACGTTAGACTCGAGTAATGAAAAAATATTGAGCAAAAATATGAATCGTTGTTGGATTGCAAAAAGATCATTGTCAATGCAAAAGCCTTACAAGTTTATTGCATGCCGATGGCCAAGGACAGACAACACTGGAAGATGAAAAGATAATGAATCAGTTTGAGGCAAGAACACAAGGAGAAAAAATCATACTGGTCAAATAGAGATTGTAAATAATAGCAGCGTGGCAGATACATACAAAGTCCAATGAGAGACAACAGAAGCATCACAGCAGCCACAGTGATCAATGTCAAGCGCCTGCACGAATGCATCAAAGAAACTTATTGTTGCCTCAAATACCAATAAGAACTCAGTATATTAGAAGTGTTGCAAAGGACAATACATACACTGCATTAAATAATCTTCTTATTTTTCCAGAGTTTTCACTTGTCTTCTCTGCCAGAGTATCTGCCGCAGCGTTTAAATCTTGATTCAAATGGTCTATATCATTCATGGCATCGGATGGAAGGAAAACTTGGGCCACACTGATATTCTTCGCAAGAGACAAATACTCGGTAACATTTCTGAGTGTCTGCACCGTGTAGTCTGACTGGTTGACAACATATTTCAGAGTACTAAAAACTTCACCATGAAATTCATCCTGTCCAACAGATAGAAGTATACAGCCAACCCTGTACATACAAAGATAAAGAGTGGGTTAAGAAGTGCTTGAAAATGAACAGAAGATCCAAAGGTTTTATAGAGTGTTGCTTACTTGAACGTTCGTGACTATTCTATTGGTAATGAAATCTTGTAGATCAATTCTTAGGTGTTATATATCTTAGTTAAATTGGCAGAGGCCATTCTGTCAATCACATCATCACAGAAAGCCAAGTAAATAATAATACGAATGATACAACAACAGTTCAAAGAGAATGTGAAGAAGAGAGAAGTCACTTAGGAGCTTCCATGGGCAAAATCTCCACATGAATAATCAATGGGACGCACGGAAATCTCTATTCCTCTACCTCTTATGCACACACAATGCATGGGCAATTTGCTAAAGAAGACAAAACTTACAAAAGTTAGAGACAGATAGAAACTTATTGGCAAGAAGTGAATAATGTGCTCATATGATCATATCCGACACAATATTACTCTAACATTGGTACGTCCAACTGAGTTATACATGCATAAATGAGGGCCCCTCGTCCAATTAAGCGAATTTCACTCCAACAAACCACCAAAAATCAGAAAAGATTAACTGATAAAAGAAGAAGAAAGAAAGAATAAAGATAAGAAAAATAATGGGAAATAGGAAGGGAAAATACATTGACATTAACAATTGATCTATATGAGCTTGAAGTTGGGTTCTTACGCGGCAGCAGATGTGAAGAGCAGGAGCATTATGAGGCATATTCTTTGTGAATTGGGACATCCCCTGTCTTTTATTGTCATTTGCCATCCGCAGCAATGATGCACCAGGAGAGCCAACCCGAAGAAAACAAACCATAGGATAGCAAGCACGAAACCAAAAGCACCTGTGAATCCAACAGACTGCAAAGAAAGATGGTCAGAAAAATCAGGTAAATAACAGAGATGTAACTTGTTCTTGATGTAGAAAAATCATTTAACATAACAAACCCAACATGTCCTCACAGATTGGAAATGATATGACACAAATTCAATCAATATTATTCAAAATGCTGTAGATGACATCTGAAGTACATATACATATGCCAACTTGATTTTGATCATGACAAGGCAGATGTCAGGAGTATGCAAAACACAAACTCTTAGAGATTATTATCTTATTGTTCTTTCTTGCCAGATTATAATCCAGACTAACGGAATTCGGCAAGGAACCATTGTGATTTATATAGCAGAAATGGCTATCTAGGGAGACAACACAAGTAATTCTCCAAATGAAACGAAGGGATGCACAATCATTTAAGGCTTGCTTCCCTATCCATGCTACTGAAGAAACAGAGGACCGACATCCACTTTTATATCAAAGCAGTCACTGGGATTTGTAGAGTTTCTTATGGGCAAACAGTCAAATGCAAAACTTTAACCTGACTATTGAATACACTCCTACAACAACGACACTTAATCATCAAATTTCTTCAACTCAACTGCCGTATGCATGTATGCCCGTACATACTCAAGGAACCAAGAAAAACAACAATATAATTTGGCTAGGTCCACTTGCACAAGAGAGAAACAAAGAGGAATAACTACTGAAAGACTCAATGCTTCTAAATGTTTTTAATGAAAGTATGTAAAGAAATGCTATGACCAAGGACTAAAAACCAGACTTACAGCCCAGTAATGCTGATTAGAAGTGTCCCAACCGTCTCGATAATGCTTAAACCCACGAAGAATATCAGGCCTATTTGTTCTATTTCCCGCTAACACCAGCGTGCTACGCGGCCCACTCGTTTCTGGCCCCGGCGCTTCTGCAAGGGCGTCCTCCGAGATGCCATTTTTCCATGGCCCCAAATTCTCTTGACCTGCGGATACAAACTATTAGACGACAAAGCACTGACTGCATTGCTCCAAATACTGGTAACAAACTTTATGCTGCTAAAAAACAAACACGAGTAACATAGCGCAGAGAATCTCAGGCCCGCCAATGCACTACATCATATACTGAATCAGCACGGCACTTCAAACGAAGTAACGCCCAGCTTTCTAGCAATCCCAAAAACGAATCTTCTGCACTTAACTGCTCAGTGGAATATAACCTCCACTGTAAAGTTCTACGCAAAGAAAAAGATTTCGTCATCTCGTCTTAGCAACGAAACAAAAGGGAGATCGCCGACAAGCCCATCCCAAGAACTACCACTTCACATGAAACAAAACGCAAAGCCTCGATTTTCAGCAAGATCATCGAAATCCTAATAAAGCACTGACCCAAGATGAACTTGACCGGATCCTTGGCGAGTCCATGCCGGGTCGAGGCAGAGCCGGCCGCTGTCGAGCTCCAAGAAGCCCATGAGAGAACCAAGAAAGCGATCAAGAACCTCCTCATGACCCGTGGCCGCGTCTCCTCCTTCCCGGCGAGCCACAAGATCACCGAAGCCACCGGAGGAGGAGGAAAAGCATTTCCAAGATTCGGCACCCCCGCGCCAAAATCCCGGGAAGAGAAAAAAGTGGAACTTGGGAACTGGGCAGCGGCTAACGGAGCCAGCTGGCCATCAGTCCGGCATCCAGAGCATCCCAAGAATCAGATTGGCCAAATTCAATGCAAAAAAAGTTCACCACCCATTCACAGCATATCAAAGAGGAGGAGACAAGGGGAGAGAGAGAGAGAGAGAGAGACGGAAACGTGGAGCCACATGGGGAGGAGTAACAAGAGCGGTTAAAAAGGGAAGGGCGGGGCGGGTGTGAATGACACCAGCAAGAACACAAACACGCGCGCACACACACTCTCACTCTCTTCTCTCTCTTCTCTCCCTGTCTCCGTGCCTGTGGTGTGTGCATTAACGAAGCACCAGTGAAAAGCAGAGTGGGGCTTTTTTTTCTTCTCTTTTATCAGTTTCCGCTGTTTTGCTTGTCCCCACTTTGATATATTGTGTCTTCCACTTCTGCTCTTCTCTCTCTCTCTCTCTGGCTCTTCTGGTTCTCACTTTCTTTTTGCCGCTTTTTCAAAGTCCAAATCGCATAAGTTAATCACCCACCTCCCCCCCCCAACTAAGATTTATGGCAGAAGCTTTCCCCTGATTTGCTTCGCCTAATCAGCTTCCCACTTTTATTAATTCCGGGGGGGACAAACATCTGGTGCGGCCGGGTGCACCGAACCCTTCGTTAAATCGCGTGTATTCCACATGATCTATAGGTCCGCAGAAGTTGACTATATCGAAAGAGAGAGAGGGAGAGAGATCAGGTCGTCCAGTTGCGTGCGGGACACTAAAAATCTCATCTTGATTCTAACTGGAATGGGCTGGAAAAGAGAGATCAGATCGTCCGGTTACGTTGACACTAAAAAAATCTCAATCTTTCGATTCTAACCGGAACGAGTTCTGAAGCGCACCGGAAGTCGGACGGCGACGATGGAGGGTAGTAAAGTTCGACGGCCCCGATTGCAGCCAACCTACGTGCTCCCGGTTGCACAGGATCGCGAGAGAGAGGGAGAGAACAAATGGGGACGCGGGATTCACCCGGATTGGCGGAACGGGGGGGGGAGGAGCATGAAAAGGCGCGCGCCGTGCACCGCACCCGATCTCCCCACCGCGATTCCGTGCCGGATTATTAATAATGCGTGTTATCGTGACGGTGGATCGCCAGCGCGAATCACGCAAATGTCACGTCGGCACCATTGATCAATTTACACGAAAAAAAGGGTCGTCCACGGAAAGGCATAAAGATAGAGAGCATACACAAAACACACACACACACACAAAAAAAAAAAGGGCTTCATCTTTACTTGGTCCCTTTCTTCACGATTTAATCTTCTTAGCGATTAAGCTTTCCCGTACAGTATTATGTAAGATTTTGCTAGATAAAGGCGTGGTCGGACCTTTTTGACCAGTACTAAGGGTCCATTTATTTCACGAAAAATGTAACGATTTTGAAAAATATTTTCCGAAAAATCATTTTCCGGGAGAATAGTTGGTTTTCATTTATTTGGTGATATGTGATTGAAAATATTTTCTGGTATTTGAATCTCATTTGGAAAGCGTTTGGAAAATGATTTCAATCCCATGATTTTATCTCAGGAAAAAAAAATTTGGAGTTTTTAAATATTTTTTATTTTTAAAAATAAAAAAGAAAGAAAAGTAAAAATATTTAGAAAGTAAAGGGAAGCAATTCCAAAATGTGTTTTCGCCTTCTTAGATTAGGGAATTCACTTTCCTAATTTTATACATGAATGTTTTCCCTGACCGGAAAGTGTATTCAGTTGACCAATCATTTTCGGTGAACCAAACGAGTGAAAGTCCGGAAAACAGATTCCTGAAAAACACTTTCCTTGAAATAAACGCAACTTAAGAGTGGACATATTCAATTGCAAGGCAACGAGGGCCTGAAAAAGATTTGTATGTCTCCTGCGCTGATATTGGTATTGGGGTGGTTTTGGGCCTTTCTTACCTCCCAAAAACTAGCTTACATCACACTCGTAAACTCATCAATAGCCATTCCGCAACCGATGTAGGATAACCCTGACAATCTCCCCCTCACACATACATTGGGCCCTCGTCAGAGCAGCAACACCTCGTATCTCCTTGTGCGACTGTTGGGTCTAGACTTGTTGGTAACCTGAGCTCAGATCTCATGTATTATTTTGTGGGACCACTGTCAACTGTTCAAAAAGCTAAAACTGTCGAATGAAAGCGTGATTAATATTTAAATATTCTATCATATTCTTACGAATTGATTGTATGTATGATGACTCATTCAGTATATCGAAAGTTATAACTTCTCCCGCCTGTTTATTTAACAAGTGTCGTAGTTGGTAAATGTTGGCCGTAACTCGTCTGTTTAGCAGCATGTCGATATCAGTTTAGCGGTTGGTAGTGCTACCACTGACAAATTTTGGGCAAATATCTATCAGTAAGTGGTGACCGCGCAAAGGAATGATATTAGGTGTATTAAGACTAATATAGGAAATAGATTTGTAAAACGATATAGCATATTATGACAAGGCTTTAGATAGAAGTACTTGCAAGTACGTCAAACTGCTTTATATATAGTAAAATAACAATTCAACATAAGTAACATTCATAATGGAAAAAACATAATTTAACATAATTTTTCTGTCTATTGATGAAGCGCTAACGCCATATATATACATATAGCCAGTGGCTATCGCAATTAAAAGCATTGATTAAGTGGGGGTATTGCATAATCAAGTGTATAAAACAATATCACTAAGGTAAAAGTCTATTTTCGGCATTTGAATTTATGCATTTTTTTAGTCAAGTTGTTGGATCTGCACAATTTTTCTAATCAAGCCCCTCTGCATCTAAATCCGAGTAATTAAAGCTAAAAAGTCTGTTGGAGCTGCGAAAAGTTAGATTTGAAAGGCTCTGTAATGTTCATGTAGAGAAATCTTTTCATTCAAGATTTGATTGTGATCATCTTCGGAGTTTTTAGTTAAAAGAGCTTTTCACGTTAAATCTTGCCAGCTTTGACAAACAATCAGCTCCAATCAATCGGATTTGAAGGGGGACAAACATAAAGAGAAAAGTTGATCAAGTTGAAGAACATGATAACCGCCAACGAATTGGGTGTGGAGCATGGCAAATTCAATTAGCAAAGTTACGCAAATTCAAGGACTTAATTAAACAGATTAAAAGTTCGAGGAGAAAAAATAGACTTTTACCCATCACAAACAAAAATACAATTAAGATCTTGTCAACAAGTCCCTCTTGAAGGGATTTGTTCAGCAACAAAACAAAGAAAGTATGCAATTGTCAATCCACCATTGTTCTCTCGTTTTATATAACTTACACTTTAGAAACGAAACCATTTATTTATCAAATATGCCTAACGAGTGTCTAGAGGGCACTCATTAACAAGAACTTTTATATCATAATTACTCACTTGTCACTTGAGCAGACTTGACTAATAGCCAAAAAGAAAAAAACAAAACTTACTTGTTTTTCCCTTCTTCATTTGGCATCTTAAATGCATTCACTAATCTAGCCTAGTTTAAGGCAAACCCAAGGTCTAGTTTAAGGCAACTCCATAGATTTTGGTGCTCAAGTCCATATTCTTACAAAAGAAACAACGTGGCAAGGCATGATCCAAGGGTCTATCTCGCATTTGTTTCTACAAAAAATTGCAGGGTAAGCATACAGAAACTTGCTTGGCAAAAAGAGCAATAATTATAACGATAAGCAATCTTATCTCTAAATGCGTAAGGGGAAGCGATCACGATCGCTACATATAGGATTAAAAGAAGAGGTCTCCATCAGGGTCAACGCTCCAAGTAAAGGGCCAAACCCTAACGTTACGTTGTTGTTTCTCTTGGCCTCATCTGATTTGACTTGAACTTTGCCCTCTATGTTGTTCATGGATTAGTTGAACGAAAGGGACCTTCGACGACTTTCATGTCTACTAACTCCACGCCCCCCTTCGGTCATACGCAAAGAAACGACGTATGCAATGGGAAAACGCCATGCAAACCACACATGTGCCGTCGAGATCCCCTGAATGCCCGAATCCGAGCGTTCGCCGGAATCGCCATCCGAAGCGAAACTGGCAAAGCAAGGCAAAGCAATTGCAATGGTGTGACGACGAAGAAGCACGTGCCTCCTCTTTGTGGTACAAAACACGTGGGACTTGGTGTTGATCTGGTGCTGTTTGGTCATCTGCTTTCTGCTTTTGTTTTGCTGTGTTCGGACATTACCCGCAAGGGAATTGTATCTTAAAATAGGGTTTGGTCGGTCGGTCACATTAAAACTGTGGGGGCGCCTCTCTCGATGGATCCTATCATTGTGAGGGTAGTTTGAAATTTATGTCAAGACGTATAGCTTATGAATGAAAGGTACCGGACATTTTACGCATAGCAAACATTGCTAAATGAAAACGATGTTCGATAAACATTTCTCATTCAGCATGACAAACGTCGCTTTTGATTGAAAAACTTTTCAAACAGATGGACGAAAGAACAAGTTGAGTATTAAGAAACGAAATGGAACCAAATGGGACCTAAATAATTACAATCGAAGATCGAGACATGTATTTCGAAGATGAAGTATGTGCAAGATGAGGGTGGGAGATTTGTAACATGATATGGATTAGAGATCCTCCGGGGCCCTTTATATCTTGCTGAAGTCTTTTATATCAGGAAAATTATTCAAAAAGTCATAAATCTATTACACTTTTATCAATTGAGTTATAAACATTTTCATTTCTTGCCAATTGAGTCTATCTGTCCAATTTTGGCTGTAAATTGCAGATGTGGATGCCGGGCGGCCACGTCGCGCTAACGTGTACATTTTTTAAATAATATTTTAATAATTTTATGAATTTTTTTATAGTTTTTTGTCTTTTTTTTTCCTTTTCTCAATTTTTTTATTTTGGATTTTGGAACTAGGGCCAGCGAGGGTGGTTGGCCGATTCTCGCCAGCCACAGGCGAGGACCGGCCGGCCTTCGCCGGCTTTGGGGGAGGGCATCGCGACCCTCGCCGGATTTGGGCTAGCTAGGGCTCATGCACCCTCGCTTTGGCCAGTGAGGGCGTTGCGACCCTCGCCGAGAGCCAGCAAGGGTCAGCTGGGCCTCGCTTGTGGCCGACGAGGGTCGGTAGGGCACCCTTGCTGGCCCTAACTCCAAAACCAAAAAAAAAAAAACAGAGAAAA